ATGATTTACTCACCTTTGGCATTTTTTTTTTTTTGGCTAATTTTGATATTGAAATGAGAAAATTTTAGACACACAACACCGACTAATAACAGTCACTAACTAATATAAAAATACTTATGTGGCTTGGTGTGGCGCGTTGGCTGCTACTTATCTCGGAATGCGACTGGGAGTAAATAACAGCCACAACTACTAGCTCCCGGATGGGTGACCACCCGGGATCATAGTAGTTAAAAACCTAGCCACACATAGACGTGTTTACTACCTACCGTAACAACCGTAAAAACAACCTACCGTACCAAAACCTTACCCCTACAACATCTAATGGCCTTTGTCGCCGAGCTTAAGATCAATAAAAAAAAAATATCTTATCATAATATTATAATGTCGGCTAAATCTTATGTATCAGAAATCAAATTATGTATATAATATAATATTTAGCTATATCTATAAGATAGTGATCTAATTAAATGTTATTATTCTATTCTATTTCTATATTTTTATAATTTGTTTAGTATTTATAAAATAGGTACCTATGCATATTTTATGTTATTATCTAGAAACATGCGGTTATCGTGCATTTTGATGAAAATATGCAAAAAATTAATTCCAGAATCTACGTATTACGAATAGTCATAATATTGAATCAGAATTATTATAAGTCAAATGTGTTGAAGAATATGCACTTGAATCAAAATTCGAGTCTTAATAATTATTACAGAGTTCACATCGGCTTACAAAGTATTTACGAGTACATATCAAACAATTATCTTTAGTGTCTAAAGTAGAATAGCTCAGAGTTTAGACTTTAAATATAGATTACAATGCATCAACATTTTCTGAAAATCATCTGATTTATAATTTACTTGTAGGTTGTTAAACATGTAAGTTATCATTTTAAAAACCAATATTGGTTACAGGGTACTTACTGTTGTGAAAAATCTATACATAGGTATGTATTTGAAAATCTCATTTGTAACTCCATTTAAAAATTCCAAAATTCATAACTTGAATATAATTATGCGTAAATTAAACTTTAAATCGGGATGAGCATTGAACATGCTTAAAAAATCACCATATATAGTATATACATATAATAATAAGTAAAAGCAAATAATATTTGTTAATATGTATTAATTATTAGCTCATATAATAATGATTTTAAATATAATTTGAGACAATATTTTCTATCGTTAGTATGCTTACTCAATTTATAATTTTACATAATATTTAAAATGTGTACTAGATCATCGTACCTATGCGTTAGATACAAATGTATAAACTGTTCTTAAACACTCTTAGTCATTCATATTTAAACAACACAACGGTCCTGTAGATAACTAATGTAAAGAATTTGTATTTACATTGAATTTTCTAGATAAGTTATTATATTCCACAATAAAGAGGTTACAAAGCATTAACRATAGTTTAGAATGAAATATATGATGTAATGCTTAAATTATTGAGTCTGTGTTGAGGATAGTATCTAGAAAGATTCTGGTCTGAAATTCAATTTAAGTAATCTAGAGATTTCTAAAGAAAAAAATTTATATTAATAAGGGAAAGGATTGATGTTTTTGTTCGACACTGTTTTTGTCGATTGTAGTTGACAATCATTGAAAAGAAGAGGAAAGTGATAGAGAAGCCGCCACCATCACAATTGGCGATGATACATGGTGGACTTTGATTGAGACCTGAATAGAACGCGTATTTGGAAAGTACAGATAATAGGATCTGGCACAGCTGCAACCTATGGTATTAGATTAAAATTAAACAAACTCGTCAAACTCCATCTAAGGTTTAAATCTAGGGATGGTTGGAAACGTTGGGAAATTTGTTTGCATAAACAGTCGTATCACAAAGAAAGGTTTGTTCATTCAACATCTGATTGTATTCGGTTTGTGATAAACATTATGTAAATATAAATAGAGAGTAATAGTCTTTTCCCTATCTCGATTTCAAACAACTTTTACATTAATAGAATATAATATGCGATTTTATAATTTTTTTTAAAGCATTCTTTATACTTATTGTAAAATCATATAATTGATAACGATATCAACATTCCAAATAACAAATTAATTATATTCCGAGAAACTGAATGTAATATTTTAAAATATAATTATATAATTTAATTTGATGTAAATATTATATTATAGTACCACGGATCACACCATTCAGTGTGATAATATTATAAATTATTATAATTAATATAATTTTTTATATACCTCGTGGCCATTGCAAGACAACAACAGATGATCACAATTCTATGAATCCAAAATATCTTTGAAATCAGCTATACGTATTACAGTAAAAACCAATCTATGCGCAGGCTCCTTAAAATTCATCTCCGTAATTATTTTAAGCTAAACGACATTCATTTGTGAATACTAATCGCGAATCCCAATATCTACATTTTGACGAAAACAACGATTTTCCACGACAACAAAAACTGCAAGGACAAATTTCTTTGACTACGAGTGCCACGAACACCGGTCCAAGACAATAGAATGAGAACGCCACTTACAAAGGAGCCAGGAATACAGCATATTCAGATGCACCATAGCCATTGATACCTGAACACCTTTTCATCACACACTACTTTTTACACTTTTATAATTTATGAGTCGTTAGAATTAGCATTCAGCAGGTAAACTTGAAATAAAATATTGGAATTTGTTTTTTTTTTTTTTGAACAATAAATAAATATTTTTTTTAAATTACGGGTCATACGTCATAATAATATATAACGTGTAGAATAATTTTGTAAATAGAATATTATGATATTATATTAAAAAGCCAATGGTCGCGCGTTATCTAGGCTTCCTTCTATTATTAATAAAAAAAAAAAAATTATATTATAATGTTACACCGAAAAAATAATAATGATGATAATAATAATAATAACCCCCCCCCCCTTGTAATAATGTTTTTAAATTTAAAAAAAAAAAAACATTTTCAAGTGTGGTCGCCGAAAGTATACGCCACACCGCGGATGTTGAAGTGCATGAAGTGCAAGTTTAATACGATACGATCCACGTATATACCTTCGTATATACGTATTGAAACCGAAACAGATGGTGCGTGCTTTCAAAGACAGCAGATTGTGTTTGAAAAATGGCCATTAACTACCCTAAAACTTTTACGGGGTAAATTTCGAGGACGAGTAGAGGTAAAAATGGAAGTGGCATATTGTGTTAAATGCGGTACGGTAGACGGGTAGGCTAGGCGGTCGGCCGTGCTCTAACGATTCCATATAACACGAGGATACGAGAAGAGGACAAGAGGAGTTATACGGTCGTCACCCCCCGCCACCACGCTACAGATTCAACGATGACGAGAGAGAGCTCAGTGATTACTCTAAAACCACCGATTTATCAGAGATTTAATATTAATAAACCTATAAATAATGTTTTTGCGGGTCCATATAAACGTGTTAAAATCAGATGAGATTTCAAATCTGATTTAAATTGTAGTTGTTCTTTTTAGTTAAGATCATACGAAAAAATCCATGCAATCCAACATTTTATTGGATACCAAATTGAATTGAAACCAATTTTTTTTTATTTAGAATTTAAATAGTACAATTTTAACCAAGATATTTTTCTAAAATGTATGACGTATTACGAATGATGAATGTCTARCAAATATTTTTCTAATCAAAAAACATTTTTATTTTAGGAGATCTGAGTAAATTAAACTGCATTACTTCTATCATCTAAACTTACTTTAAACCCTTTTAAAATGTAATAGCTATAGTCTAAAGCCTCTAAATATTGACCCGTTAAAACGGGCATGGCCCGTATCCGCCAAAACGAAAAAGGTATGATTCTCGTCTGTGTCAAATTTATTTTTGTAAAAAGATGTTTTCGCAAATTATTATTTGGGAACCATTTACAAATATTACATATTCTTATCATTGTAAATTATAATGCAAGAAGATAATAATAATATATTATTAGAATAAAGGCACAATTAATTCAGAGTCTGTAAATATTATACAATAGCATATTATCACATATCTATATTATATTTAAATATTTCTATATTTAAAATTAAAATACAATTAATTATTATATTATCTTAAAAATATAAATTATAATACAAGTATATAGGCCAAGTTAAAAAAAATTACATAATTGGTTTCCAAACTTTTTTGCTGAAAACCTCTTTTGGCGGAAACGGGAATCGTCCCTTTTTCGTTTTTGGCGGAAACAGGTAACTCGGGTAATATTTTATAATTCATTATATAGACTATAGTTGATAAGATATTACAATATAGGTATACGCAACAAGGAATCAATGAAACATTATAATAGTATATGATGATAACATGAAGGTAGTATAGGTAGGGATTACAGTGATGGATTTAAGGAAATGGCACAGGAGTACGTACACCTATGAATTTTTGTCAACAATTTTTTTAAGTTTACTACTAGTATCATATAAATGAAAAATTCAGCTAATAAGAATAATACTACCAACTATTAATTATTATAACAATCATTATTTGCAGCATTCAAACTGATAAAACAAGATTTACAGCTTAAGTGTCTTATCGATACTTATTTATAGTTATAAACATTAGCTATTAATTAAAATTAAAATTATACAATTTATATGTGCTCCCCCCCCCTATCAAAAAAATATTGAAGATTCGCCTCTGGGTAAGTAGTAAGATTTATAGATTTTAACCAATCACACCGCGACCAATAGCTTTCATGAACACGTTGACCAATTTTGCCGAAAACTCCATACAGGTCTTGCCTCCGTTAGTGGTTGTTACTGATTTTCCCTTGAGATTGCCGGCTAATACGTTCATTTGTAATTTATACTTTCTCACGTTAATAGGTTTATTTCCGAAGCACACTGTCCCCTGCAAACAATAACAATGTATACACCACGTACGACCTTCACTGCTGCAGACGGCATGACGCCAATAACGGCACAGAAATATAAATAATCATAAAATATGATATTACATTAAAATATATTGTTATCCTGATAAGTGTCACGAATCGCGTAATACAGTGATGTATCAATTAAAACTTAAAATTATATGTAACCGACCTTGTTAATTGGACAGCTCTTCGGCAGTCCGAGTATTTCCAAAGCCATTTGAATGTCAGTCGACGATTTCGCGTCGTCGAGCTGTTTGCAACCGTCCCTTTTGCCCGATAGCTTTATCAAGTCCTTTTGGACGGTGAATTCGACCTGGAAATCGTGTAAAAATTAAAATCTAAAATATGGGTAGGTACCTATTACGCACAGCTGTATTTATTATAATATGACACCAGACCATATAAGCGCAGCTATGGTATATCTACAACGAACGAATACATGACCAAATGTGTTAAATGCACGGTACGCCACTAAATAATTTTTTTTACAGCCTATAATTGCCCATATTGACACTTATTTATAGTAAAAAAAAGATATACGATTTGCATTTCGTGCAATAACTATGTATTGAGTTTAAGTCTTATAAGTGGCTTCATTCACCCGAAATAGAAAAGTATGTAAGTAGGAGAAAATAGTAATGTCAACTATTTCCACCAAACCAAAATATAATACCTACCTCATGGATAATGAATTTGATTTTTTAGTAATTTAAGAAACAAATAATTATACATTTTATCGTACCGGTTGTGTTCCATAGTGAATGAAATCAAAAATGTATGTAAAATGATTTTTTTTTCGATACATTTTTATTTATTTGGATGTTGGCTACATAGTACGCGATAGGTGATTTAATTCCAGTCGAGTCGTGGCAGCTCTTCAGAGCAGACGTACCTAGTGGTCGGTAGCTCTCCAGAGGAAGCCACTATCCAAGGCATCGTCAAATCCGTGCGCGATGTGTGTCCTAAACCACGCCCAGCGTCCAAAAGCAGCAGCCACACGCGCGCAGGCGTAACCACGCCCAGCGGCCAACCACGTCCGTTCCCGTGCGCGCAGGCGCACCAAACCACGCCCAGTTACCAACCACGAGGCACTCCGCGCGCACAGGCGCAGATACCTAGCAGTCGGCTACTAGACCTCGTGCGCGACCAGCAAGACAACAGTTCAGCCGGGACAGTGAACAAGACAAGTCGGGCCAACAAACAGGCAGCCGAAGACAACACATTGCACCAGCGACCCGGGGCTCGGGCCCTTGGTAGCACAATGTATTACACCAGCTCGGACGGTGAAATGGACCTCACTAACCGGGTCGTGGCGGCAATGACTGGAGCAGACGCCCTCAGTTGGAGCTCTGACGCCCCGTTCGAGCCTGAGAAAAAAAATATGAAGACAACAGAGACTTCCCAAGCCACCTTGGAACCACCTCAGGTCAACGGGAGCGTCTGGTGCGAGAGACTCAGGGAAAAACTGAACAAAACGAGGTCCATTCTTAAAGCAGCTGCCTCCGATACCAAGAAAATCATCGAAAAAACAGCGGACGTTTCCTTGAAGGGATACTTACATAGCCTGCTAGTTCAAACTGATGAGGCGCACCAAACTGTAGATTCCCTTCTCTCGTAGAAGGGGAATGTGCTGAACCTACCAGAGTTCGGACCACTTCACASAGAAYATACCAGCAACAAGAAAGTCTCCACTGCTGATGCCTCCACGGACATGATTCTGACCCCGGGCTATTGGGATAGTCACGTGGTCATAGAGTCGAAGGCGGCAACTGCTCGTAGAAGAACACGGAAACCAAAGTTGCCAAGCGGCCAGTTCCCGCAGGAAGTACAGACGGACGTCGCTATGGAAACTGACACGGAAGACTGGTCCCAAGTCGTCAGCCGACGCACCGGGAAAAATCTGACGACGGCAGCGCGTCAGCCCACCGCCGGCTCCCGCTCGCAGCCTTCAGGTTTTTCCAAAAAACCACCAGCGATACTCATTAAAAATGCCGACGGGAAGAGTTACAGAGACACAGTATTGGCGGTACGCAATTGTGGCCTGACCAGAGCAGAGATCGGCACCAGCGTCACCATGAGACAGACGCGGGATGGATGTCTTCTTCTGGAGCTTCCCAAAGGAGGAAACTCAGTCACAGCAGCCAAACACATAGTCTCAGCCATGTCGCTAAAGCTAGGAGACACCGTGGGTAAAGTTCTTCAGCTCGGCGTACAAGTGGAGGTCGAGGTGCTGGATATCGACGCAGCCACCACCGCAACGGAAGTTTTGGAGGCACTCCGCAACGCCATCCATGGTCAAGGCGACCCAACCGTCAAGATCGACCGGGACGTAGTCAGTGATGTCAGGATATGGGGCACACAATCTGGACAACAGATTGCCACGGAAAAAATGCCTAAACACGTTGCCACCCAAATATCCAGAGTTCCGATCGGGTGGACCATGTGCCGAGTCCGACCCAGGACGCAGCCACCAGAGAGGTGCTTAAGGTGCCAGGCCTTCGGACACAACGCCAGGACCTGCACAGCAGAAGACAGGACTCGCGCCTGCTGGAAATGCGGTGTGATAGGCCACTCCATGAAGAACTGTACCGAGGYGGACGACCGTTGCATAGCGTGTGAAAACGCCGGACTGCAGAAGGTCACGCATAAGYCGGGCTCGGGCGCATGCGCTGCCAGGAAACAGTCGGGTGGAGCAAAGACGTCAGATGATTARTTTCCTGCAAATTAATCTCAACGCAAATTGGTCAGCGGAGCAGSTCATGGCACAGACGGYGGACGAGATCGGGGCGGACATCCTCATTGTGTCTGAACCAGCTACCAATCACGGGCACGAAGATCGATGGTGCTTCAGCGCCGACCGCAAAGCCGCCGTGRGAACATCGTGTCACACAGCACTYAGCCACGATGGCCGGGGCTCCGGCAACGGGTTTGCTTGGCTCTCTTTCCGTGAGCTGACCGTTTTTAGCTGCTACTTCAGACCTGGGGCCACACTGCTGGACTACGGACTCTTCCTCGACGACCTCGAAGCGGCGATCCGCGCTAGGGGAAATGCCTCGATTATCCTGGCTGGTGATTTCAATGCCTGGAACATCGAATGGGGCTCGAGAACTAACAACCCTAGAGGCGGTCCGTTGTCCGATCTCGCCMCCAGCCTAGGACTGATCCTGGCCAACTCGGGTACCACGCCCACCTTCGTGAGAGGGGCATCCACCTCAATAATAGACGTCACATTTTACCGGGGTGTCAACGTTACGGGATGGCATGTACCCGAAACCGAAACCCTGAGTGATCACAATTACGTCTGCTTCAGCACGGCAAATCAGGCCCAGGCCCAGGTTCAAGCCGAACTCCCCGCCCATGCCCACCCTGGCTGGTCCGTGAAGAAGTTGAACGTTGACGCCCTGCGTGGTCATCTCAGCACCACGCGCCTAGGAGCCACAGTCGGACCCATATGCGTTGAGAAAGCCCTGTCCTCGGCGAATTCGCTTGACACTTTACTGTTCGGCACCTGTGAGGCATCAATGCCCAGAAAAAAAACGGGTCCCCAGAGCATATAAAGTCGTAATGAAGAAACTAGGCTCCCGCAACCCAGCCGCGGACTCCAGGGGCAGAGAGGCTGTCATCGCCGATTTCCTGTTCCCGGCAGCCCCCGTCACGGATTRGAGCTTGGCTCCTTCCGCAGCGGTGCACAACATCTTTCAGGSGTTTGACCCGGTGCTGAACACGATAGAGTTTACCAGTATCATTCCAGAATTCAAGCCAGAAGAACTCAGCAGAGCAGTCAACAGGCTCGCATCGGGCAAGTCAGCTGGACCTTCGAGGATTCCCAATGAGATCCTCAGGGCTACCGTGTCCGCCCAGCCCAGTGCAGTCCTTAGCGTTTTCAATGACTGCCTCGACGCGCTRACGTTTCCAACATGTTGGAAGAGGGCACGGCTGGTGCTGCTCCGTAAGGGCMCAGACAAACCTCCGGACGCCCCGTCGAGCTATAGGCCGATCTGCATGTTAGACACCCCAGGCAAGTTGCTCGAGAGGCTCCTTCTCCAAAGACTCGAGGATCATCTGGACGAGCACGGGGGACGAAGAAGAGCCCCTAACCAGTTTGGCTTCAGGAAAGGATTCAGCACGGAGTGTGCAATTGGCAAGGTACTCGGCATCGCCGCACAGGCAGCCACCACCCCGAGAAAGAAAAGTMTCTGTGTTTTGGTGACTCTGGACGTCAGGAATGCCTTCAATTCCTTTAGGTGGCCTGTAAACGATGCAGCTTTGAGGCGCATCAACACCCCGGAGTACCTGGTGGAAATGCTCCGGTCTTGGCTGACTGATAGAACGCTGCTAACTGGTGAAGAGATGGAGGAGAGGCCGGTGACCTGTGGAGTGCCGCAGGGCTCCGTTCTTGGCCCAGCCTTGTGGAACGTCGCCTATGATTCCCTCCTGACGATGGACACGCCACCCGGGGTGCAGCTCGTCGGCTTCGCGGACGATCTCGCGGTCGTAGGAATGGCCGTGACCGGGCAGCAACTCGAAGACGCAATCAATCCCACACTGATGGCCATTGAAGACTGGATGCGGAGCAGAGGCCTGGAGATGGCTCATCAAAAGAGTGAAGCGGTGATCCTGTCTTTAAGACGGACGTTTGTCCCACCTCGACTGACGATCAACGGCCACCTGATCCCAYTGCGAAATGAAATCAGGTACCTCGGGGTCATTCTGGACAAGCGTCTGACTTTTGCAGCCCAAACAAACACTGTCACAACGAAGGCAGCCCGCTCAGCCGCTGCTCTGTCCAGGTTTATGCCGAACATTGGTGGATCGGTTCAGTGGGAGAGGAGGCTGCTAGCGTCCGTTGTAGAAAGTCAGTTGTTGTACGCCGCTCCTGTCTGGATCTCCRCCATCACAGACGTCGCCAGAACGAGAGCGATCTTGATCCGTCCACAGAGGACCGCCGCCATGAGGGTGATGAGGTCCTACCGCACCGTGTTGGACCAGGCCGCTCTGGTTCTGGCCTGCATGCCACCCGCCGATCTGCTCGGATTGAAAAGACGCAGTATCAGGTCCCGACTACGCGCCGTTTTGGAACCCGGCGAACAACGACCTTYCAAAGCAACCGCAAAAAGCGAGGCGAGAAACGCTACGATCGGTGCCTGGCAGGCTAGATGGCAAGCAACCTCAAAAGCTGCATGGACGCGCTGCGTCATCCCTGACTTGGGGAGATGGCTGGGGAGGACCGTCCCGTGRGTGCCTCTGACGTTCCACATGACACAGGCACTCACGGGCCATGGTTGTTTCCAGTGGTACCTCCATCGTATGGGC